CCACAGTGGGGACCCCCCCCCAAATTTGGAGCAGAGGACACTGCCCTGGGTGGGAGGAGGTGGGCTGAGGAGAAAAAATATCTCTGGCTGAAGAAGTCCCAGGGATGAAGGATGAGTGTCTGGGAAGCTTGTCCAGCTTGACTGGGGGATAGGGGGCCAGAGGGCAGGGGGAAGACACAGGAGAAGTGGGTGAAAAGGGCAGTGGAATTGAAGCTAGTCAAACTGAGATTCCAATCCTTGATCTATTGTTTACCAGTGTGTATCACTGGACAAATCACTGATCTCCCTGGGCCTCATTTTCACTTCTGTAGGTGTTAATTGTAGTATTATCTCTTAGGAATGTGAGAATTAAATGAGATAGTGTTTGTGAAAGACACTAACATACCAGTCATGTGTATTTAAGCGGGCCAAGAGATTGGATTCTAATTCCAGCCTGGCACTAACTTGCTGAGATTTTAGCACTGGCTCTGTCACCAATGACTTTGTGACCTGGGGCACATCACAGACCCTTTCTAGGCCTCAGCTGCCCCATGGATACTAAGAGGGTGCTGAACCCAGCGTTGCAGATCCCGCCCCTCTTCTATGCTCTGACCCACCTTCTCCCCTATGTGCCTGTATCCTAATCTTGAAAACCTGGAGACCTTTAGGGACCCAGACAGCAGCCAATTTGATGATGTTTACTGAGCACATATTATGTGCCTGGCACTGGGGCCAGGAACAAGGGAAATTAGACCCGATCCTTGTCCTGAAGATGTCAGGCTCTAGTAGGTAGACAGACTTTAAGCAGATAATGACAGCATCACGTGCCAAGGGACAGTAATGTACAGAACGAAAGGTAGTCTATATTTATGGGAGAGAGAGGCATAAAAGAAGAGGCTTGAGCTGCTTTCTAAAAATGTTTGTTGTGGAAGATTAAAAACATATACAACAACGGATAGAACAGTAGAGGAAAGCTCTGTGTCCTCATCACACGGCTGCAACAACGATGGCCCCACGTCAGTCTTGGTGTGTCTATTTTCACACCCACTCTCCACACCCAAGCATTACTTTGCATGGAGCTGGGTTGGTTTTGAAGGAGGAACAGCAATTCCCCGGTGGACAAGCACTGGAGACAAATGCCCGCGGGCAGAGCGGAATGCTGTGCCCAGAGGCACTAAGCAGTGCCTGGCGCTGGTGCATCCAATCTGAGCTGGAGGTGGGGGCAAGATGCTGGGCCCCTGTGCATGTTGGCCCCTGGGCTATCTTTTGTACAGTGTGACCTGTCACTCTTTTTGGAACTGGGAGTCTCGAAACAAGTCTTCCTCAGAGTCAAGGCAGCACAGAGCCGGCCCTTTGGCAGCAGGCAGCGAGGAGGCCCCGCAGGCTGAAGGCGGCAGGCCTTGGCGGGCCGAGAGCGCGGGGCACTGGCACGCACGGGCCCCGACGGGCGCAGTCGGGCCCTAAGCCTTAAATATTACCCCGGAGTTTTCAATTATCTCTTCTTAATGGATTTGCAGGGGCTCTTTCATCAAGCGCGGGGTGGCTGGGTGTGGGGGTGTGGGGAGTGCGCGGCGAGGGCTGGAGCTGAGAAAATGGCCTATATTTCAATATTAAAGCCCTTTACGATCGTCAGCAGCATGAAAGATGCTGCAAATAAAACGGGGCCGCCCGCGCCAGCCTCTCCATCTCGCAAGTTTTAATTAACGCTGAGGGGGAGGCGGCTGCCGGGCGGGTCGGAGCCGGGCCGGGGCGGATCGCCGAGCCTCCTGGATCCCCGTCCCGAGCGTGAGCCGCGGGGACCTCGCCGGCCCGGCCTGGCGGAAGAGGGACGTGGCGGGCCCCGAGTCCCAGGTGAGGCCGCGGAAGATGGCGGTACATGGCGAAGGCGGAGACTGGCGGGGAGAGGTCGGAAGGCTGCTGAGCGGCGGGCCAGGGAGCAATCACAGGATGTCACTGAATGCAGATGGCTGCTATCAACGGGAAGGGGACTTCTGGCCAAATGGCTGAGCGCTCCCCCGCACCCCTCCAGCGTCCTTCCTCTGCTTCTCTTCTTCCCCCCAACGGTCCTCGCCCCCCACCCCCGACCCGTCCCACCCCACACGCGGTTCTCCACCAACTCCCCTTTGCTGGCACCCTGTGGCTCCTGTTTCAGGGAGGCTGACATGCTTCCTGTGACCCAGCGGCTCGGGGTCCCCGTCCTCACGGCCCCTGTTCCGGGACGTCTGCTTTCTCCATCACTCCCTCGGCTTCCCGGCCGGCCGGGCCCCATCCTCCAGCCGCGCGGAGCAGCGCGCACAGAAGCGCCACTGTTCTGCCTTGGCAGCCGCCTGGCCCGACAGCTTGTGCCTGAGCAGCAGACCCATCCGTCAGGCGGGAAGGATGGAGCAACGTCCGGCTGCCCGCTCGGGGGACTCCCCGGGGAGCCACCGCTGGCCTGGGCCCAGACTCCTCTCTTCCCCTCTCCCCACTCCCCCAAGCCTGCCCCCAACTGCCAGCTCAGTATATATTTCTGTTTCCACTCCCACCCCTCCTTCCCCCACCCTCACCCCCACCTCATATGCACACAGCCCGGGTCTGAGGCCCAGGAGAATCGCCTCCTCTCAAGCGTCACACTGAGGGGCCTACCTACATCCACATGGCAGGGCGTAACTCTTTGGCTTAAAAGGATCCAGGGATCTCAGTGGTCCACAATCTAAAGTTAATCAGCCAACCAACACTCAGGGTTTGAACCAAGGACTTTGTGCAAACCTTATAGAGTGGAGGGATTAGAAAAATAATACAAATGAAAGACATGGTCTTTGTTCCTGGGTATTTACAGGTACTTTATGCTTTCTGAAGCATTTTGCAGAAAAAGAAAATTCTCTTCTCATTGTGCCACAGAGCTTGCAAGCACCAAGACAAATTCTGTGTTAAAGCAAAAAGAGAAAAAAAATTCTCTTCTACTTTCTTTTTGGTTTGTATTTTTTTCTTCTCGCCAATTTGTGATAATCATTTATTAAGCCTTAAAATAGTGCATGCTTTTGCGTATAGTTAGGAAGACAGAACGCACACAAACGGTATAGGAAACAAGGACAAACTGCAAGTGCTGCTGGTCTGTAGAGTAATGGAAGAAGGGGTGAGAAGTAAAACATATTTGGCTTAATCAAGAAGGACTTCCTGGAGAAGGGGAGGCTGGATTTTGAAGTAGCATGGTAATGTGAACTTGAAAAGAAAGTCCCAGATGGGGAAATACTGGCTCTAAAGCAGGACCAATTTTATATTTAATTTCGGGTTGAGGAACAGATACTCTTGACTTCAACATATTTTCCCTGACAATAGAGTAAGTTGAAAGAAGACTTGTGCGACAGCAGGAAGAATTTAGGGCAGACAGTGGAATCTTCAGTAATGCTGGAGATTAAAGTGAATGCGAGGGACCCCAAAGCACCCTTCTCCCAAGGAGTCCTCCCACACTTGGCTAAGTGCTATGGGAGGGATGCCTGGACTCAAGGACTCAGTCACCACTTTCTGTCATACCATTAGAAATTTTGGATGTATCTTCTTATCAAAGGGAGGACAGGCCCCACAGCATCAACCACCAATCGTGATATGGTTGGCGGAGAGAGGAGAGAGAAGCAAAGATTCTCTCCCCCTCACCCAGATTATAAGGGGAGAAACCGAGGTCCATTTACTCAAGACAAGAAACATTTTATTGAGTACCTACTCAATGTGGCAAGCATTATATAAGGCACTAAAGATCCAGAAATGATCAAGGCATAGCCCCTGTCAACAAGATGCTCATAGTCTAGTGGGGGAGGCAGTTCACTCATTCATTCCATCATTTGATCAAAAACAAAAGTAGAATTGAGCACTCACTATGAGCCAAGCAGAGTTGCATGTGCTAGAGAGGCAACTGTGAACAAGACAGACCCAGTCTCTGCCCCCTCAGGTACAGAAGACAGGCACATAACAGGCGGTTATAATTCACAGTGATGAGTGCTACGAAGGGGAAAGGACAGTTACCATGAGGGGGAGGAAGCACATATGAGGGGCATCTGTCCTAGTCTGTGAAAGGGGACATGCGGATGTTGTAGAAGACGCACCCCCAAATCTGCCTCAAAGGGTGCATGGAAATCAGTTGCAGGGTGGCATGAGGTGGTACTCTAGGTAGGCCCTGAGTTTGTGGGCCTGTTCAGCATCCCACCAGGAGCTTGTAGCCAAATCAGGCCCAGGCTGAGCTTTCCTCTAGTCACAGGATGGCACTGGCCTGCACTAAAGCAGCTCTTCCAACACCAGCAGGAAAATCCAGACGATAATCCTAACAGAGCCAGACAAGAGAATGAGGTTATCAGTTTTCCATATTCTGCTAGGAAGCTTCTGCCTCAGGGCTAGGCTATTTGGAGAGGCTGGGGGGGCAGGAGGGCACTGTGGAGGGTCTTACTCTTTCCACCCTCTCCTCACTGATAACAGTTTTGAAACAAACCAGATTTTAAATTAAAAAAGCAAGTGATCTGTCTCTCTAGCTGCAGCTGAATATAAATCAGGAAGAGAAAGAATTGCCCTCCCCAGAAATGTTTCTACGTCCCTAGTCCTAACCATCTCACTGCACCAGCCATCCTACCTCCACCCACGCCACTTCCCTGGAGCTGCATCTATAAGGGCAGGAGTGAAGTACAAAGCAGAAAAGGGCATTCAGGGGAAGAGAACAGCTTGGGCAAAGTCCCAGAGGCAGGAGCACCCGGGGAACTGCAGATCCCTCAGTGTAGAGATGAAGCTGCTGAGGAGGTTAGCACAAGCTTATAAAGGGCCCATAGTATGCCAGGCTAACTAAGGGGTGGGGACAGTGAGGGACCCCTGAGGGTTTTATGGTTTAAATTTTGACAAGTTTTTTCACAATATAGAAAATAGAGTAACATAACACTCTTGTACCCACTACGCAGACATAAGCTTTGTTAAGCTACTGTTAACACTATGTCAACTTTGCTCTTGAGTTTCAAACTGCCCAACTGTTATGATAGAATTAGCTACTTTACATTTTTACTCCATATTTTTAAAAAGTCTTTATTTGAGATTTTTGGCAAAATGCAGGCAAGGATAGAACTGGGTTTGTAAGATCATACTGGTTACCAAGCAGAGGATTCCAGGTGACAGGAGGACCAACGATGATGACAGTGGGAAGGAGGGGACAGAGTAATAGATGTTCAGTAGGATAATCCACAACATAGGTCTCTGATGGCAAGCCCGTGAGGGCAGGGATTTGTTTTGTACATTCTGTCTTCGGCACCATGAACAGGGGCTGGCTGTTTGCTGGAGAAACCAAATAAAAGTTTGTTGACTAAGAGAAGCTGATAAGGGCAGAGTGATTCAGGATGACTCCCAGATTCCTAGACAATGTGAGTAGCTGGATGGTGATCTCGGTCTCCAAGATGGGGGTCCCAGGAGGAGAAGCTGGATTGCAGGGAAAGATGAATCCAGAAGCCCTCTTTGTGGTCCAGAAGGAAAGAAGCTGCAGACCAGACTTCCAGTCCTCGGGGCTGAAAATCCTGTAGCAGGTCGCTGTTGAAGGCTACAAAGGACTTGAAAGGACCCAGAGATTGCAAAGCAGGAAAGGTTTAGTCCTGCTGGGGGCAAAGAGATGGTTGAAAAACAAACCAAATACAAAACCTGTTTCCCGAGAAGGCCAGCAGGCAGGGCCCAGCTTCTGCATTCCCCACAGTGAGTGTCTGTTGCCCTTTGTGCGGCGGGTGCCGACAGCCCATTAGCCAAGGCAGAGGAGGAGGAAGAAGGCATAATAAGTGATTCTAGAATCATAAAGACCTTGTCAGACGCCCACACTTCCACCTTTGCTGCACTCCATATTCATCAACAAGACGGACAGGCGGGGTGCTCATAATTGCTCTCTAGGGACTTATTCTTGACCAAATCCAATCTCTCTACTCAGGGAAGGATGTGAAACATAACCTGCTTTTCTACTCTTCAGACCTGGAGCTCTGGCCCTTCACCTCAAAAGGTTGCCTGCTGCAAGGATCTCCCTCAAAGCCACTGCCACCCCTTCCTTCCCTGACACCCCCTGCCCCAGGCCCAGCTGTCACCCACCCTCTGCTGCTAATTCACCTATAAACAGTCTCCTGCCTTGTGTCTCCACTCAGTCTAGTTCTTCTCCTTCTCTGCTACATTCCACTCCCCCAGAAGCCTGCCCCATCTTTCCTATCACCCCCAGCACTGACTTCCTGAACTGAGTCTAGATGCTCACAGCTCTGTTCTTCTCTGTCTTTGTCCCTCTTTCTAGCCCATCACCTCAGCCCTCAATAGATTGGTCTCTCAAAGAGAGTTCTTTGAGTCCTGGCTATGGTTAAGTGTCATTTCCCTACTTCATCCCTGGGTTCTGGGGCAGGAATGCTTTTCCCACCCCCCTACCCCCCACCCCTGTCTGGGAGGAACAGAAGGGTTACTTTGGTTTTGTTTGATCTGTCATAGGAAGGCCTGCCTTCCTGTCAGAAATGGAGCTGTCATGGATCTAAGTCACTTGGTTCTCTTTCCTAGGAGGACTTGCAATTCAGACTTGTTCTTTATTCAAGTAATTTTAAATATGGTGAAGCAGTGAAGTAGGTGGAGGGGAAAATCTTCAGATCACCTTTCCATGAGCCTACTATTTTAAAGTGTGGTGGGATCTACAGGAAAGCATCCTTGTCCTCCGGATGCATCCCCCAGAGTCACCAAAGGACCAAACTAATGATCCTCAAACTAGGCTGTGATCAGTCCCCGCACCCCACCTTGATCTTGGGCAGGCTTCTAACTTTAATCAGAGCAATACACCCTGCAGAATATCACTTCCCTTAACCCCCACACTGAGCAGAGCTCTAAATCATCAGAGAATCAGACTATGTAGACTCTGTAGACCTGTGAACAGGTGTAGACTTGACACAGTCCACAGAGTCATGTGACTTGCTCTGCTAACCAGGGTTCTTCCTCAGCAAGGAAACTACTGGGACTTTTTTTCCACCTTTCCACCTGTTCCACCTGTATGCACTGTTAATTTCTCTACAATTAACATATATCACATGTACTATTAAAAAGAAAATGTAGGGCCAGCCCTGTGGCTCACTCGGGAGAGTGCGGCGCTGGTAGTGCTGAGGCCGCGGGTTCGGATCCTATATAGGGATGGCCGGTGCGCTCACTGGCTGAGTGTGGTGTGGACAACACCGTGTCGAGGGTCGCAATCCCCTTACCGGTCAAAAAAAAAAAATGTATCTTTAGAGAGATCAGGAACTAGGAATGTTGGGCCACGGTGGTACATGCTGCTGAGTTAGGTAACACAGCCCCAGTTAGGTGTGTGTCCTGTGGATGTTCTCATGAGTCAAGAGCCACTGCAGGGTCCTTTAAAAACAGGAAGGGAAGCCTTGATCCCTGGGCAGTGCCAGGGCTGAACCCACAGAGGGCACCTGCAGAGGATTAGAGTGAAGGTACTGGAAAGAGAGAACCACGAGAAGCAAGGCCTGGATGGTCAGATTCCCTTCATAGTTATAAAACTTAAAAGCATCTAAGTCACAGGCAGATTTTGGGTTTTCCTTAAGAATCCAACTAATTTTAAGTGTTCTGCTTTGTAGCTTTCTATAAAGTGTGACTATTCACTTGGTTGGTGATTAGTGGTTCAGCTAGTAATTATTAATCAAGAAGGAATCAGAAATAAGCATCATAAATTTACAATGAATATTTCATGTTCTAATGATAAATGTGAAGGTGAAACAGTGGGAAGGTAGAAATAGAATTGTTATTTGTTTGTTTTGCTCTTTTAAAGAGTGAAGAAGTCAGAAATCCTGGCTCTTATCCAGGCTCTGTCCCTGACATGGGGCTTTTCAAACTTTTCTGCCTAAGTCCCTTTGATGTGATGGAGAAGACAATGAACTTTTACTTCAGCAGTCTGGGGTTTAGCCTGAAGGGCCATCAGCAAGGACCAAATTCTTTCTTTTTTTTAAAAAAAAAAAAGTTTAATTAACGAGTAGGGGCTGGCTACTAGCTCGGCTGGTTAGAGCACAGTGTTATAACACCAGGATCAAGGGTTCAGATCCCCAGACTGGCCAGCTGCCAAAAAAATAAATAAATAAAAGAACAGGATGCAGTATACTCATTATTTACATTATATAAAACTGGAATTAATTTATTAATAGGAAAATGGGACCAAATTCTGGGGGGGTCTTAAGTTTTAGCTTTAAAATTGTTCAAACTTTACATTTCATTACATAATACATTTTGTGCATTTTAATACTAAAATGATGATTTAAACTATTTGCCATCAAAAAATTTCTGTGGTCTTCAGAGAGGCTTCTTGTGTATCCTGTGACACCCCCAGCATGCAGCCACTGCATTGTGGCCCCAGGACACTTGCACACAGGTGAGAGGTGCAAGGCCTCACCAAATTTTGAGTATGTAGCCACCCCAAATAAGTCCCTTCTCTTCTGTTGATTTTTTAATTTGTCAAATTTCCCTACCACTGACCCAGGTTATATCTCTAAATGCTACCACTTAGTAAGCACTTACTAGATGCCAGGCTGTATGCCAGATGCTTTTACAAGCATTATGTCATTTAAATTATCACAATCACCCGAAGCTCAGAGAGGTGAAGTAGCTTGCCTAAGGTCACAGAGCTGTAAAGAAGCAGAGTGAGGATTCAAACGCCTGTCTGCTTGGCTCCTAAGCAGACTGTGGCCTCATTGCTGCCTCTTGGAGGCCAAGGCTGGAACACCTGGCTGAGTGAGCAGTGGCCTCCCGGGGAAAGAGACTGCTGTGGTACATCTTGAAAGAGCATGAGTGTAATGTAGCAAGAGTCAGAAAAGCTAGGTTTAGGTGTAGTTCTGCCCCTGACTAGCTATAGGTTCTTGAGGGATCCCCTTAGCCCCTGGATCATTATCTACAAAACTGGATAGAAAAGGTTGTAAAAGGGACAGTGGAAAAAAGATGAGTGTGGGCCAAGCCCGTGGTGCTCTCGGGAGAGTGCGGCTCCCTCCGTGGGTTCGGATCCTATATAGGACTGGCCGGAGCACTCACTGGCTGAGCGCGTTGTGGACGACACCATGCCAAGGGTTGTGATCCCCTTCCCGGTCATGAAAAAGACAAAAAAAAAAAAAAAAGAAAGAAAAGAAAGAAAGAAAAAGAAAAAAGATGAGTGTTGAGTCAACATCCGAGGTTCCTTTCTTGCTCCACTGCTTACCAGCTGTGTCATTTTAGGCAAGTGGCTAAGGCTCTAATCTCTCGTTTCCTCACTTCCAAAATGTGAAAAATAATATCCACCTTACAGGGCTGCTCCGGGTATTAAAAAAAATATATATGTGAAACACCTGGAACGGTTTGGCATGTAGTAGTCGCTCAGCAAATTCTTCCCAATCATAGTGACCCTTGTAACAGTAGTACTGGCAGTACTACCCATATTAAGAAATTGTGGTTATTAAAATGACAGAAATGTGTGGGAGCAATCCTACAATGTAAGACAATCCCTTAAAAATAAGGAGCTGGAGAAGTTCCACTTTCATGTACCCCCCCAATAGTTCTGCCTAGAGTTCCTTCAATGGGTAGAGAGGAAGTTCAGCCTGGAGCAGGTTTAGACAGGGGAAGGGAAGATCCAGGTCCTTCTGCTAAGCCAGTTTGGAGAACAGAGCATGACCCTCCATGAAGAGAGATTCTCAAGATCTCTCCCAGCTTTAACGTTGGCTAAGTTTTATTCTGTGACTTAGCCAGTCTGCCCTAATTCCTCAGTGTGGGCAGGACCTCAAAAGACCACCCACCAGTGTCTCAGTGAACATGTGTGTCCCCACCTTGGTAGCCACACACCAGACACTTCCCAAAGTCTAAGAGATGGGGATTCTCTCCAAAGGGACCCTAGGTCTTGACCAAAGACTGACTGTCCATCTTCCTGTTGGGGCCTTGCAGAGCCTAGAGGGAGTTTTCCAAAGCAGGTGAGCCCCCTGAGTGGCCAAGAGGCCGTGGGTGGGCTAGGTTAGCCTCTCCCTGGGCCTTTTCCCCCTAAATTGGTGTCCCAGGCACCTCTCCTAGTTTGGAAAGCAGATTATTTATGGCTTATTTTTGACACCAGATCATCGCTGCCCAAGTTTCATCAATTTGTCACTGTTTTTATTGTCAGCAATTGCCCATAACTGGAGCACATTTAAAATGTCATTGATCTTGGTATTACAGTGTCATAATCTGACAGTAATAGGTGTAGCCAGCACAGGAAGCCCAGGCCCTGAGATTGATGGCGTTCAGCACACCAATTATATTCTGTCCATCTAAGTGATAAAAGAGTACGTAGGAGGCATTCAATAGATAAATTAGATATCGCTCCCAATTATGTCCCTTTATTTTATGGAGTCATATGCTCCCCTTAGAACTTTTTTTCTTCATTTGGCTTATAAAGGAGCATTACTTGACCCCCAAAGACCAGGACTGCCTCCCCTGCCTGCTCTACCTTGTGTTTGACCCTGATCCCTCCCCACCTTCTTGTAGCCTCTCACCTGGACTCTCTTGGGAGCTCACCTAGGAGCCTCCCCAGTGTAGTGAGTGGCTCAGGTGTAGAAGGAAGGAGGTGGAGGTGTCTGGGGAGGAGTTGGACCAGGCCTTTGGGAAGGAGTAGGAGGTCTGGAAAGTCTTTTTTTTATGTGACACTGGTCGAAGAAATGAGATCGGGAGAAGAGCTAAAACACAGGTTGAGATCCTCCCAGACACCAGCAAAGCCTTTGGATTAGTACGAGTTAATGGCTATGGCTGGGTGGAAGACGGTGGTAAGAAGTCCTCAGGACGTGAATTCATCTACTCCCCTGCCTTCGCTCTAGACTGAGTTGAGACAATTAAAACCTTTCCTCTGGAGAACTTCCTAGAATCTCCCGACCCCCATTCCAATCCACATCAGATGACTTCCTAGCTTTGCCACTGTAATAGGAGAATGATACTGGCTTTCCTGGGGAGGCAGCGGTCTCCCTGCTTGAGAACTAGTCCCAAGAGCAGATCATTTCCAAGAAGAGAGCTCACCCGAGGCAGGGGAGGAATGCCTGGCCAGAGAATAGAGGTACAGTGAGGGGGTCACTTTATTTGGGGCCTGGCTCTGAAGACAGCCTTGAACTGGCCCAGACCCCTGTTCCCACATCCTCCCATGTCCCCCTGAAGTCAGCAGGAAACACAGAGGAGGCCTAGGCACCAGGTGGAAAACAGTCATCCAGTATCCATTTATAGAGCTTTGAAAGAGAAAGTGTCTATGGGCTGGGCTGCTCCCCATAGCCTGTTGCCATCTCAGTGTTATAAATAATCCTGGCACTAAGTGCCCTGTTATACTGAAGGGAAGTAGTTCTTATGAGTGAAACCTGAGAATGTGGGGCAGGGGAGGAGGGATGCTGGGGGATGGGGGGAGAACTGGGGAGCCATCACCCCAAGGTTCCCCAAGTGGACCCACAAGCTGGTGATAGATGAATTTCTGGAGCAGCAGATGGCATTTCAAGTGAAATGTTTATAGGAAATGAGTGTGATTTAAACAACGTCTTGGCCGGTAAACACCAGGCAGATGGGGGGAGAGGGCAAGGCGAGCAGTGGAGGAATCAAAGGCCCGGAGGCCCCCAGTGTTAAGTAGCTGTCTGAAGCTCTGCTCAAACGCACACGCCAGCTTTGGTCTTAACATGTTTTTAAGAGCTGGTTATGATTTCCTCGAGGGCGGCTCAGATTAAGACTAGAGTGGAGCCCCCAGCTGAGCGCCTTCAATAACTGTCCATCACATCCTCTTTAGAGACAGCAGCCTCCTCCCCTTGGCTCAGGGAGCCTGTGACTTGGGAGCTGCGAGGCTGCGCTGCTTTGTCAGCCGGTTCCCAGGCAGCACAGGGGCTTGTCTGCCCTTTGCATGGGGCCCTGCCCTGGGTGTTGGGGCAGATCCTGGGGACAGGAATTGAGAAAACACACAACCTAGAAAAGAAGAAAGAAAGTGAAGAGAGCAAAAGGATGGAAGCAAAGGGAGAGGAAACGTTCACCAAATTCGGAATCCGGCTCTTCTCATCACATCCCCTGCTGCCACCCTGGCCCAAGCCACTCATCTCTCACTTGGATTCATGCAGTAACCTTTCAACAAGTCTCCCTGCTTCTTCTCTAGCCCCCCTGCAATTTATTCTCAATACGAAAGACAGAAGAATCACTTAAAACCTTCAGTCATGTCTCTCCTCCCCATTTCACTCAGAGTGAAAAGCAAAGTCCTTAAGTTAGCCTGCAAGGCCCTACACTATCCACCTCATTACCTCTCTGATGTCACCCCCTCCAGCCACACTGGCCTCCAGGTTTCACAAACTTGCCATGCATGCTTCTGCCTCAGGGCCTTTACACTGGCTGTTCTCTCTACTTGGAATACTCTTGCCAGTATATCTGTGGGGCTTACTCTCTCATCTCTAAATCTTTGTTCAAATATTCTGTTCTCAATGAGACCTCTTTGACTACCATATTTGAGATCTAAGACTTGCCCTCCTTCCTGATCCCTTTCCTTGATCTATTTTTTTTTTCTGTAACAATGATTAGTTTCTAATATATGATATAATTTACTTATTTAGTAAGTATATTGTTCATTATCTGTCTCTCCCTGCTAGAATGTAAGCTCCACACAAGCAGGCGTCTTTCTCTGTTTTGCTCACCAATGTATTCCAAGAAGCTGCAACAGTTCTCAATAACAGTTGCTTAATGAGTAAATGCAAAGGATGAGGTTAGCCAGGGCAGGGTTTGGAGGGAAGGGGGGGTGGGGGCAACCTGGCTTGGGGTTAACTTATGACTTATCTCACGGCAGGCCTTGTATTAGAATCTGAGAGTCAGAGTGATGGGCACAGTGCAAGAGTTGGGCCAGGCCATCACCAAAACTCGGGAGACTCAGTTGGCAAAGGGACTAGTCTGGATTTGCCCCCTGAATATAGTGGAGGACTTGGCTTTAGGTTGGGACTTCACCAACTTCATGGCCAAAATATACTCTGGCATAATAATACCTAGGGATGTGCAGGGCAAGAATGACATGTTTGGAAATGGGGGGTAGACTGGGAATTCAGAAGCCTTCAAGGTGGGAGGAGGGTAGCTGAAAGAGAGCAGAGCAGGCACGTATCTTCTAAGTCTGGAAAAATGATCAAGGTGGGATTAAAGGATCTGAAGGAAGATTGTGTATGCAAGTGAGAGGAGGAAACCAAGTCACCAATGGCTATCATCTCAAAGAGGATGTTCCATCTCCACTGAGGGCAGAATATAAAGCCATGGCTGCACCTAAAGTAGAAGGAACTGGAGTTAGACAACAAAAAAGACCTCCCAACAATGCAACAGGTAGTAGAGGGAAGGCATGGGGCCTTGTTCTATGGAAAACTTGAGCAGGACCCAACTGAGTACATACCTCAGCCAGGATAACACAGAGGGCCCTGTGGGTCTGCAAGGCTCTGGTGTGGGAGTGTGGGGGACTAGAGCCCTGGAGAGGGTTCCTGCTGCTGCCTGGCTCCCGACACCACCCTCTCACCTGCAAGGCCTCTGAGCTCCTACAGCATGCACCCATTTGCCTTCTCTCTTGCACTCGCATTTCTGCATCTTACCAGAGTGGAAAGGGGAAATCGAGAGTATCTAGCACTCCAAAGCCCCACCAGTCCAGGTGTGTCCCTTTACTATCTCTCCCCAAAACATCAATGCTTGACTCAGTTTGTGGTGACTTCAGGGTACAAGCCAGGAGAAGCAGAAAATATCTTTGGAGGGGTGTACTGTGATTATAATGGAGAGAGGACCTGGGTGGTCTGGGAGTTCTGAGGATAGGAGGGAGACTTACTTGTCATTGTATAACTTTTGATGCCTTTTGAGTTTTGAACCATACACATGCATTTCCTATTCAAAAAATAAAATAAAATAATTACAATCAGACAAAAGCAACAACAACAGTAATAACAACAAAGAAAAGATTCACATTAGTGGGAACTTGATGCCTGTAACTGTTAGCCTGAGGACAATGACCTGGCCCTTCTTGCCCATGTGCACCCCCCTCCTCATCAGGTATCTCCATTCTCTGGAGGTTCAGAGAGGGGCATGGCCAGGCTGATGTCACAAAGCATTTAAGACTATCGAAAGTCTGAGGGTTACATGTCCAGAATCTCAGTGTTGACTTTCTCTTCTGGTCTTCAATGACTGGGTCTACCCATTGACCTCTTCATGTTTTTTGCAGAACTGTGTATATGCTACACATTAACTTCAATGAATTGTTTTAAAAGCTGCGTTATCTTAAATGCCATCTTTCTGAGGGAATCATCTCTTTTACAGAGCTCTCTTCTGTCCCCCGGTGTGGTATTTGATAGTTTAATTCCCTCCCTTCCTGCCTCCCTGCTCTCCACCATCCTCCACCACCAAAGTGGCTCTCCACTAAAACTTGACCCTGTTCCTGATGAGACATGTGACTTTGAGCAAATCATTTAACCTTTCTGTGCTTCTGTTTCTTCATCTATAATTGAGGATCCTGACCTTCCTCTCACGGCTCTTCATTCATTCATTTGTACAACAAGCATGTGTTCTGTGCCAGGTGCTGAACTCGGCACTGAGGATCACATGAGTCAGTGTATGTGAAGCTAGTACAGAGACAGACAGAGTTATTGCCAAGGCCTCCTTCTTCGGATGCTTTTCTGGCTGGGCACTCCAACCCCATCATCTGGCATGCCCTTGGAGGAATTGCTTCACAGTCTACTCCCAACTTCTCAACTACTACAACTGCTCCTGGGATGAAGCTAACATCCTGCTCTGGAAGAAGTGTCAGGGACTGCAGGGACCAGCTTTCCCATTTGGTTAGATCTTGAAGGCATCAGTTTGCCTGCAAGTAGAAATAATGCTGAAATTTGTCTATGTGGCTTTAGTCTGGAACTTCAGGAGTGTCCACCTGTCTTGTTCTCTGGGGACCTCATCCCAAAGAGTTGGGGCTGGAATGAGGGGGTGGGAAATGGAATCTGTCCATATCTCAGCTCTGCTCATTTCTCTCCTTTCCTGAGTCCCGTGCTTCTCTGAGGATTGGTACAGAGCTAAGATTCTGGGATTGGAAACTCACATTTGCCTCCCACCAAATGAAGGCTGGGCTATGGAGGAAAGACAGCCCCTTCTTTAAAACACCTACCACCACCTCAGATAGATACGCATAGAGGAAAGGGACATTTCCAGAGCTCTTGGCAGTTCTCCACTCCCAGCCTGACCACTGAGGACTTGGTGAGCATCACTGGGAGGGAGGAGTGTTTGTAGAAAAAACATGCTGCTTCAATCCTGGTCGTGACAAAATCCCATGACAAAATCCTAATGACAGACCATAGTGGCAAGGAAGGATCAGATTTAGGAAGGAGGCACTTCCTGATTGTCAGGGAAGGGGTTTAAGGAGAGAGGTTGTGGAGATTTGATGGATTCACTCAGACGTGGTCTTCCCAGAAGAAGGAGGAAGGATGAGATGACCCGGGAGTTACAAAGGATTCAGGGATTCATGATATTGCAGAGCTGGCAATGACTGTGGAGGGCACCAAAGACATGTCAGTTCATCCATGACTACAGCACCAACTCATAGACAGTGCTATGGGTTGAATGTGTCCCCCCAAAGTTCATGTGTTGGGGATTTGGTCCCCATTGTAACAGTGATAAGAGAGCAGGAACTCTGAAAGGTGGGGCCTTTAAGAGGTGATCGGTTCATGAAGACTAGGCTCTCGTGAATGGATTAATCCATTCATGGAGTAATGTTAATGGTTTAGACACAGGAGGGGCACAGATGGTTTGATGAGTGCAGGGCTGGCCAGTTAGCTCAGTTGGTTAGAGGTCAGCATTACAACACCAAGGTCAAGGGTTTGGATCCCCTTGCCAGCCAGCCTCAAAACAAAACAAAGAAACAAAAATAAGGAGAGCAAGTGAGCATGTTAACTCTTGCTCATGCTGTTCTCACCATGTGATACCCTGGTCACCACAGGACTCTGTAGGGTTCCCACGAAGAAGAAGGCCCTCACCAGATATGTTCCCTGGACCTTGGAATTCCCAGCCTCTAAAACTATAATAAATAAATTTTGTTTTCTTTACCTAGTTTCAGGTATTCTGTTATATGCAACAGAAAATGGACTAATACAGACAGGGACCAGGTATCTGGAACTCCAAACATGTCCAACACAATGCCTCACACAGGGCTGACTGGAGAATCTGACTGAAGAAGACAAGTCCTTCCCCGGAAGATGGTGCCAACTCCATGCATGGGGAAGGAAAGCTGCTTTAAAGTAACTGTGGCTGGCCGGTTAGCTTACTCGGGAGAGTGTGGTGCTGATAACAGCAAGGTCAAAGGTTTGGACCCCTGTATCAGCCAGATGCCAGAAAGAAAGAATGAAAGGAAGGAAGGAAGGAAGAAACCCCAGCAAAAAAAATGGTTCCAGACTGCAGAACCTGGAAGTACTTCACATCCAGCCTCAATCCTGCTTACCACAACTTGATCTGATCTCACTGCAACCTGTGGGGTTTGTCTATCCCCAGAGTACAAACTGAGCAGGAAATAAGGGCCTGGCTTTCGGGCCTAACCTGTTGGCCTATTGGCCAAACTCTCAAGCACCTGTCTCAGATCCTGGGTGGTCCCATGGTAAGTGGAGGAGGGGGCTTCTTCCATGGAATGTCCTCACTCCGTGAGGATACAAGCAGAACAGCAGAGGGCAAGGAGGGTTCAGTGGCCAGGAGAGGTGGGGTTCGGGGAACCCCTCCTGACTGGGGGTTAGGGAGCTTCTCTGGATGCTCAGCCCTTCCACCTCCTGAGCAAAGACGGCAGCTTCTGGAGAGCAGAAATTGATCCCGCATCATTTCGGCAGCCGCAGTGCCCAGTGCAGAGCAGATGCTCAAAAGACACGGGCTGAATGAATAAATGAGCCTCGGGGCCAAGAGATGACCCAGCCAGCAGCTGGAGTGGGTCTTTGGATAAGGGATTCCCCTCTCTGAGCCTCAGTTTCTTTATCTGTAAAACGAGGGGATTGTAGTAGATTATCTCTAAGGTTTTTTCCACCCCTGACAATCTATAGTTTTCTATTTCCCTTGTCTCATCTGTTCCTTTCCAATTCTCCCTCCACATCTTCTCTTTTCCTCCCCCTTTAAGTCCTTCTCCCCCACTTAACCCCTCATCTCTGCCCCCCCGCTTCTCAGTGTCTCCCCTCCCCAGCCAACTTGCTCCCCTTTCTCTTTCACAGGTGTTTCTCCCTCTCCTTCTGCTTCTGGTGATTCCTGCCTCCCTGGGGCGGTCCGTGTTGTGCCCCCCCACCCCATTCGCTCATTCTAGCGCCCCCTACACCAACCTTAGATCCCGAGGGGAGAGACTGGAAGAAGAGGCGGGGTCTTAAAGCTCAGCCCGTCCACCCCCTGAGGGGTGCCCCGCAGCGGCCCCCCGCCGCCCCAGCCCGAGCGCGGCCAGCCCGCCCCTTCCTCAGCAGCCGGTGCCGCGCCGCGCCCGTGCCCCACGCTAATGCGATCTGGAGAGACCCGGGCGGGCGGCGGGCAGTCTGGCCCGAGCGTCCCGGGCGGCGCTGATGGATGGTCCCCTGACAGTAATCGCAGAATGAGGACGCGCTGGCGACGCTCTCGCCCGAGGCCCCGCTGCTTGGCGAGCCAGGGGTCCCTCCCTCCACAGCGCCTGCCTGCCAGGCACTCAACTCACTGGGCTTTGGGGAGGCCGGACCGCTCCAGGTTAGGGCCGAGGTGTGGGCTTTCCCTGCCCTTTCTCCTCCAAGACACTACTTTCTGTTCTGGAATACTCCTTAGTCCACACTGCATCCGTAATTCTGAACAAGCTACTCATCTCCTTGAGCCTCAGTTTCCCCTTCTGTATAATGGGAAATAATGGTCTTTTAAAGCCTGGATGGAGAGTGTTGGGAGCACAGGAGAAAATACTGAGAAAAATTACCACTCTCCCTTAAAGTAGAAATCGATTCTTACTTCTAGCTTACAGTGCTCAGAATAATCTGAGCTAAATGTATGAGGCTGAATAAAAGCTGAGTGGCTATTCACACACAGAATATATGTTTATACAGGTACACATGTCATAATGTTTTTAGGCTAGTAAATATAGTGGAAAATAGGAGATGGCAATACCAGTGCTGCTTAGACCTCTTTAAAGAGAAGAACATCAGCTCAAGTATTTCTCCAGGGAGATGACTGCCTCCAGCAGGACTTTCTCCACTCTGCTAAGGCCCACCTACCGGTCTAAGCCCCCATCCCCATCCAGTCTTGGGATCTGCTGCAATCCAGGGCTAGGCTGAGGTGTTGTGAGGGAAGAGCCCCCTTGGAGAAACATGTCTGGACAATTTCCCAACCCCTCACCCACCCTCAGGTGACAGACTTCTAAGGCTCCTTCACTCCTCCACCCCCAGGGGATCCCCCTTGGGCATGGCCCTGTGGGGGGCTGGGGGTGAGAGTCCAGAACCAATTACAATTCTGAGAGCACACCCAGACGCTTCCTCACTTCCTTTTAACCTTTCCCTCTCATCAGAAGCCAAATTGAGTTAGTCTTGAGTTTTGATTTAATTCCCGAAATGGAGTCATAATCTGCTTAGTGTCCTTTTTCCCAAGTGCTGGATACTGAAGTGTGTGTATCCAGGGGGGGAGTTAATGAGAGAGCGGTGCTGTGGCCTCTGGAGAAACCTCATACACACTCACATCCCAAACAACACCAAGGAGCAGGAGACATCTTGGCCCTGAGTTGCTGAGTGGGACTCTGATGATGGTGATGATGCCTCATATCTATTGGGCACTTAACTTGTGACAGGACTGAGTGAGACCCTGTATGTGCATTTCTCACTTCATCCTCACCACCACCTTTCAGGGAAGTACCATTCATATTCCCAATTTATGGA